GAGCATGGGCTACCAAGAGTGGGGCTGGTCTGAGAAGCTCTTGCCACTCTCCTTCTCCTGCAGGAGATCTGGATTGTCCAATCCCACATCTCAGACACCATGATCGTCAAGCTGGACAACAGCTGGGACCTGAACATAGACTGCGTCGTTGCTGAGATCAAGGCATAGTACAACATTGTCACCTGCAGCCGTGCAGAGGCTGAGTCCTGGTACCACAGCAAGGTGAGTGGGGAAGTCTACACCTGCCTGCTAGACATAGCAGTGGGAGGGATGTAAGGCATCTATTAAATAGACTTCCTTTTCTGGGGATGCTGGTCCCTACAGATGAGAAGAGAAGGGCTGGCTCTCTGAGGCTGGGATGGCAGAGCAGGACTGCCACGTGTGGTTGCACAGGCTGAGCACTGCACAACTGCACAACCATCCATGGTATCCTGAATGGACGGGACGCCCCACCCAGAGCCTCATGAGCATCTCTTCTTCCCCAGTGTGAGGAGATGAAGGCCACGGTGATCAGGCATGGGGAGACCCTGCGCCGCACCAAGGAGGAGATCAACAAGCTGAACTGCATGATCCAGAGGCTGACAGCCGAGGTGGAGAAAGCCAAGTGCCAGGTATGAGGGCCCAGCCCACCCCTCAGTGTGGGAAGAGTAGGGATTTGAGTTAGAGGGATTTGAGTTGGAGGGATATGAGCAGAGGGATTTGAGTTAGACCCCTTGCCAATGTGTGGGGACACGGGCAAACACCAAGCATGAGGACAGCCTCCTCCATGGAAAAGGTTCTCCATTCTCACTTAATGGAGGCATTGGAGCAGTATAGAGGGAATGAGGAGACAAGGGCTTTCCTGCTTCCAAGGGCAGAATGGGCCAGAGGAAACAGCACCAGTCTAAGGGGCAGGAAACCTGGGCTCTCAAACCAGCTCTGCCACTAGCTTGCCCTGAGACTTGGGAAAGGCATTTAACCTCTCTGGCCTGTTGTTCTAGATCAGTGATCGCACATTCAGAGATCAACAGAGGTTGGTAAATGAGCAAAGCAAGCAAGCTGTTCCCAAGGCTCTTGCGTATGGTAGGGACTTTAGCAAACTGGAAAGCACAAAGGGCAGGGCTAGGCAGATCCAGCTGAGGCAGGCCATGAAGAAATGCAGGTCCAGTGTGGCCAGATACTCTGAGCTTTTGAAAGAAGCCATGAATTTCAGTTATTGTGTTAAGTTTCCAAAATTGAAGACACTGCAAACACTCCTGGGAGCACTAATTTGCAACCCCTGGCCTAACAAATAGATAAGGCCTCTTCCTCTGCTAGTCAATGATCAGTGGTTACCTGGCCTCTAACCTGAGGCCAGAACAGACACCCTTAATAACCCTCCCTTGCCTCCCAGAACTTTAAGCTGGAGGCCGCGGTGGCCCAGTCTGAGCAGCAGGGTGAGGCAGCCCTCAGTGACGCCCACTGCAAGCTGGCTGAGCTGGAGGCCGCCCTACAGAAGGCCAAGCAGGACATGGCCTGCCTGATCGGGGAGTACTAAGAGATCATAAACTCCAAGCTGGGCCTGGACATCGAGATCGCCACCTACAGGCACCTGCTGGAGGGCGAGGAGCAGAGGTGAGGACCACAGCTATGGGGAGGGTATCCCCTCAGTTTCCCCAGGTAGTGCTGCAGTGCTTCAAGAGCCAGGAGCATGTCTGCAGATTACTTACTTCTACCTGGAGGAGAGAACTTGCAGGTTAACAGATTTCACCAGCTTTGGTCCCCACAACTAATTTCTGTCTCTTTGCTTTCCCCATAAGGTTGTGTGAGGGAGTTGGTGCTGCAAGTGTCTGTAAGCAATCTATTTTGTGGGTTCCGAAATAAGAGCCTGGGGTTCTGGGCAAGCAATCTTTTTCTTAAAGCTTCAGACAGTAAAAACTTTAGGCTTGTGGGCCATGCAGTCTCTGCCTCGACTGCTCCGCTCTTGCTGTAATATAAAGCAGCCACAGCCAAAGGCAACCCTTAAAGGAAGAGGTGTGACTGGGTTCCAAGAAACCTTGATTGACAGTCAGCCCGCATGTGGCCATAGTTGGCAGACTCTAAACACAAAGACGGAGTGGGGCAGTGAGTGATTATTGTAACTTAACTACAGTCAGGCACCACATAAGGACTTTTAGGTCAAGGATGGATGGAATATAGGACAGTAGTCCCATTAGATTATAATACCATATTTTTGACTATACCTTTCCTAGGTTTAGCTCTGCTTAGATACACAGATGCCTACCATAGTGTTACAGTTGTCTTCAGTCTTCAGTACAGTCACACGCTGCACAGCTTTGTAGCATAGAAGCAATGGGCTGTGCTATATCTCAGCCAGGAACCTGTGGCCAGAAGGCTGCATGCAGCCCAGGACAGCTTTGAATGTGGTCCGACTGTGATTGTTTTAAGCTCATCAGCTATCATTAGTGTTAGTGTATTTTATGTGTGGCCCAAGACAGTTCTTCTTCTTCCAGTGTGGCCCAGGAAAGCCAAAAGATTGGACACCCTTGGGGCCTGAGTGTGGTGACTCACACCTGTAATCCCAGCACTTTGAGAGGCCAAGGCAGGTGGATCACTTGAGGTCAGGAGTTCGAGACAAGCCTGGCCAACATGGTGAAACCTCGTCTGGACTAAAAATACAAAAATTATCTGGGCGTAGTGATGGGCGCCTATAATCACAGCTACTAAGGAGGCTGAGGCAGGAGAATCACTTGAACCCAACAGGCAGAGGTTGCAGTGAGCCAAGATCACCGCACTGCACTCCAGCCTAGGCAACAGAGCAAGAGTCTGGCTCAAAAAAAAAAAAAAAAAAAAGATTGGCCACCATTGCCATAGAGCCCACGTGTGTAGTAGGCTACACCATCTAGGTTTGTGTATGTGTACTCCATGATGTTCGCACAATGACAAAATCATTCAATGCTGCATTTCTCAGAACATGTCCCTGTTGTGAGGCAAAGCATAGCTATGTCTGCCTAAGAGAGGACCTGGGCTAACAGTATATCAAGACTACAGGAACCAGTGCCCATAGGAGGGTGTTGAGGGGAGCGGATAGAAACAGGGGAGAAGCTCTGAGCAGAAGGAGCCTCTGGCTGCCAGGAGACTGAGCCCTGTACTCCCCCTCCGACAGTGTCAGCAGCTCCCGCAGTGGGGTCGTGTGCAGGGACCTGTGCGTGTCGGGCTCCCGGCCGGTGACGGGCAGTGTCTGCAGCACCCCCTGCACCGGGAACGTGGCGGTGAGCACCGGCCTGTGTGCGCCCTGTGGCCAGAGCTGCGGCAGCGGCCGCTCCGTGCGCTTCGCCTGAGCACCCAGCTTTGTACCGACACCACCCCACCAGCAGCAGCCCCAGCTTCCCGAGGCAGCCCAGAGCTCCCTCAGCCCCCAGAAGAGTGGAAGAAGCGCTTCGGGGCTCAGCCGCCCCATCGGCCCCCACGCTGCGCCTTCTGGTCTCGCATCCCCGCCCGCTGATCCCTTCACTGCTTCAGGAGCACAGGACTCCTGGTCCGCAGCTCTCCCCACCCCGCGTCTAAAGGACCGTTTCCTCGCAGCCCAAGGCAAAGACCCGGGTCCGGAGGCCTGGAGGCCTGTGGCCTCTGAGGGACAGATGGGCCTGGAGCCCCTTGGTGTGGACTTGCTGTGCCTTCTAATCCACGTGCCGGGCAGGCCACCTCTCGAGCCTGACTGGCTGGCTCTCTCCCTCTCCTCTGTGCTTGTCTCAGCATTTCCAGTAAAGCTCCTGGTCACATGCAGTGCGCCCTGACAGTCTCTCCTCCCTCCTGCCGGCTTCATCTTCCCATCCAGGTTTCCCATCAGGGGCAGACAGAGAGCTGTGCGGAGCAGTGGAGGAGGGCTGGCCCACCCCCGCACCCTGCCCCACCCACAGGCACTGCATCCTGAAGGGTGGCCCCCCAGAGTCAGCAGATGGAAGGGCAATGTGGCAAGCCTTAGGAGGTGGGAGGGGCTGGATCTCCTGACACCTTGGGTGGGAACCTCATCACTGTGGCTGCTGGGACATCCCTGGTCCACTTTTTCCACTCTCCACCCTCAGTCCCCACCTCAGCATTTGAAAGTTCCCTGACCATAGGGTCAAATATACACACTTCCCCTCAGAAGCCAACACATCCCAGAGAGCTCCCCCACCTACACCACCACCATCACCCCCTGAGGTCCCAGACACAGAGACTTCCCCACCGCTCCATAGCGCCCATCATACATGCTGCTGCCCGTCAGGGACACATTTCCCCATGAATAGGCCCTGCCCTGCCACAGAACACCTGCCACACTCACAGGCACAGACCTGTGCATTAAGGATCCTGACATACAGAGTTCCCCATCAAGCACTGACCTGACACACAGATATCCTTCCCCACTCCCATGGATCCAGGTGTAAACCCATCCTGCCAAGGTCCTGGGCACAGACCTGTTACCAGGGATCTAGACTCTAGGACCCTCCTCCATGCACACACACCTCCTCCCCCAGCCACCACCCCCACAGAATTGGAGATGCAGAGGACCTCTCCAGGGCCCCACCTGGCTGACCATGAGCCTGGCAGACCCAGCACCAGGAAGGGCTGAGGACGGCTGGTGTGAGAGTTGGCTAGGCCACCCGAAACTGGGGCCTGGGGCAGCTGAAAGTTTGTGGCCTCCTCACAAAAGGAATGTGCTCTGGCAGCTCCAGGCATGGAGGTAGGGAGGCATACAGCCTTCCCACCCCCTTAATAGGGCAGCATTCCAAGGCCCGGCTGCTAGCAGAGCCTGCATTTCCCCATGGCTCTTCTGGGCTTCCTTAGGAGAATCTTTGGGATCAACACCAGCCCTGGAGGCCAAGGCTCACCGTAGGAAAGCGTCCTGCCCCTTAGAGCAGCACCCCATCCCAGCACGTGCCTTCTCAGTCTCCTGCACAAAAGGCTTCCTAGTCACCAGGGGGACCCCGCCTTCTCTAGTCCCCTGTCTTTTCCCCTGCCCAACCTAATGAAGCCAGGATACCAGGCACGGGCCACACGGATCACTCAGGCCTCAGAACGAGGCTGCTTTATTGGATGCTATTCTGACATCACTTTCCAGACTGTCTCTCGGTCTTGGGAACAGGCATGGGAGGCAGGGAGGGGAACCTTCCTGGGACTGTGGGCAGTGGCTGGGGAAATGGAGGGGTGGGAAGCAGCTCAGTTGCGGGCGCTCCTGCGACTGGTGGATGTGGTCCGGATGGAATAAGCCTTCAGGGCCCCAGGACCCGCACTGCTGGAGAAGCTCAGGGCATTGCTGCCCATGGTTCCCCCGAAGCTCAGCCCAATGCCACCACCACTGCCACTGCCACTGCCTCCAGTGGAATTCACCACAGCTGGGAGAGAAAAGAGGAGGGCTCTTTTCAGTGCAAGACTCCCTACCAGGGACCCCATCCCTTCACTGCACCCCTCCCTCCTGCCCCAGCTGCTCTTCCTCACCCCCTGCCCCCTCCATGGGCCAACCCAGAAGGAGCCTCTGACAGGGGTAGGGCTGCCCCCCAGGTGCTCCCAGCCCCACCCAGCCCTCTTGCACTGCTTCCTAGGCCATTGAGCCTGCCTGTATGTGCTCCAGGTGACCTGCCAGACCCTGTGGAAAGAAAGGAAGCTCCTGGCCCCTTCGGCAGGGCCCTGGGCCAATCCGCCATTATCTAGGCCCAGCCCACCTGAACAGCACAAGGGTTGCTTCCCGTGGGCTGCAGCCAAGGACTTACAGATATTCACGGCTCCCACTCCATCTCCGGCCAACCTGGAGGCAGAGGACAGACTGTGAGGGCAGCTCTTTCTAGTGCCGGAGGAAAGCACTCTCAGCCCCCTCTCCTTCCAGGCCCCAAGCAGGATCATTGCTTTTCCTTCTTGCCCCACACTTCCAGCCTGACTTCAGCCTTGTAAAAGACTCGAGGAGGAGTATAGGAAGGGAGTGTTCACCTTGGCCCTTCTATCCACTGGCCACATGACCCCAACAGTGTCTCAGAGCCTCCATTTCCCACTTATACCTTGGGCCTAAATACAGGACCAAATTAATGGGCTTGTTTCTGAGGGTTAAATGACATGATTTGCCTAACGCCCTGCGCACCTAGGATCTGGTGAATGGTAGCTGTGTGTATTATTTACGTAGATGGCTGCCTTTCCTCGCCATATCAAAAAATCCTAAACGTGTCTGTGGCCTATTGATACTTTATCCCCAGCATGAGGCCTGGAGAAGTCATTGCTTACTATATGGAAAAATAATTAATGAATCGTTGACTGACTAAATGGGGTTCCAGCCAGGATCGAGCAGGGAGCCAGGAGTGGGGGTGGTTTAAGCAGCCAATGGGGCTGAAACAGGTCTTGCAGTAGAAATTAAAAATCCATTCGAGACAGCTGGGTATGTTTGTTTTGTGACTCACAGCCCCGTTGTCACCAAGCCCTTGGCCTTGGGGATCAGTTTGCTCTGTGGGGGGAGGGAGGACCTCACTTTGGTGGAGGGAATGAAGAGAGCTTCGCTGGCCTCTGTGGCCCCAAGCCCAGGAAGCAGGCAGAGCAAAGGCAGAAGGAAAGAGAAGTTTGCTGAAAGCTTGCAGGGGGCTTGCTTAAATGGCCTCTGCTGGTGCTGGGAGTTGCTGGCACCTGTGGGTGGGGAGAGGGAGCCAGGTGGCAGCCAGGCAGCAACTCAGAATCTCTGGTCCAATGCCTAAAGAACCCAGATGGAAGAGGCTGGAATGTCCGAGGCTCTAGTAGTCTGTGTGACTTCTCTCATTCTAAGTCAGTGTTTTTTGGCAACTGTATTCTTAAAGTAGGCCTCCTAGTTTGAGTGAGTTTCTGGACCACAACTCTGAAGTTAAGGGATAAAAGCAAGGTATCCACCTCCAGATCCCCCAGGGTTGGGGGGGACAGTATCCTCTCAGAGTACCCAGATCTAAGCCTGGTTATAGCAGCTCAGACTGAGATTAACGGGATGTCTCTACAAGCTGTGTGACCTTGTGCACACTACTGACCATTTCTGAGCTTCAGTCCCCTTTTCTTCCCATGGAGGAAGCTGGATCAGGTACTACTCTGGAGTCCCCCAATGGACTTCTATGAGAAGGCCCAGGGTATGGGTTCTAAAGATATGGGGGCCCTGTGTCCATGGGGGAGGAGGAAGCAGAGAGAGGCAACTTGGCTGGAGCTCCCTGTGCCCAGATCAGCTTCTGTGTTCCCAGAGGCCTTTGGTGTTCAATTCCTCTTCCCACAAAGACTTGGTGCTAACCCAGGGAGGAGGCAGGTCAACTGCAGGACAGAGCCCCTTCCTCTTCCTCTCCGCCTCCCACTCATACCCTGCTCCCCTGTTCTTCCTCTCCTCCCAGCACCTAACCCTCCCCCAGCCCTAGCACCCCTTCACTCCCCAGTCCCTTCCCCGCTGCTCCATCCACCCCCCATCATGTCTCTCCCTGGCCCCTCAGGAATCATGCTCAGAAAAGAAAAGGTTCTTGTTTACACTCAGCATTTTACAAATGCAAGTTAGTGGTCTCTGGGGGTTCCCTTGGCAGATATTTTGTCTCCTCCACCAGTCGGCAACCTCCCTGAGGACAGAAACATGACCTACATATTCTCTGTCATCATGGTGTCTTATAACTAGCCGAGAATGAAGAGGTTGAGTTCTATCCCAGCAATATGCACATGCACACGAAGGCCCAGCTGCATAGACAGAGGTGCCATGGGGTTCATGAAGAAGTTCCACCAGACTCACCCACTCCAGCCTCCTCTCTGACTGCAAGTGAGTCTGCAGATATCTCTGGGGACAAAACTGCCCCCGCCCCCACCACAGTCAGTCAACACCACATGATGTAGCACTTAGTCTGTAGTGAGGAGCAGCCTGGCATCCTGGAAGATCCTTGGAGTGGGAATCGGCACCCCTTGACTACATACTGGCCCTGTTCCCTCAATTAATGAAACTCAACCACAGCCTTCCCCTCTGGAGACTAAGGATTCAATCCTCTCTGACCTGACTGCCTGAATGTGTGCTGAGGAACAAACACGATAATCCTAAGAGCCACACACACAAAGGGACTGTTGCCACTTCAACCTGCCCGCTGAGCTTCACACTCTACGGTCTTTCCTTCTAGAAGGTCATCTCATTGAAGGCAAAGACATAAGCCTCAGCTCTGGGTTCCCTGCATCCCCACACCCAACGCCCTTCAGAGGAGGGGCATACAGGAAATGCTTGTAAATGAATGAATGTCAAGCCCCAGACCCCATGGAGCCCATAAGGATCCCGTTTCCAGCTTCCTTGTCCTTACCGGCTCTCCTCGCCCTCCAAAAGCTTGCGGTACGTGGCAATCTCGATGTCCAGGGCCAGCTTGACGCTCATCAGCTCCTGGTACTCACGCAGCTGCCGTGCCATGTCTTGCTTGGCCCGCTGCAGGGCAGCCTCCAGCTCCTCCTGCTTGGCACGAGCATCCTTGAGTGCCAGCTCCCCACGCTCCTCAGCCTCAGCAATGGCGGCCTCCAACTTGGCACGCTGTGGGCAGTAGTGCAGCTGTGAGCTGAGGCTCACCAGTCTACCTTCCTTCCTACACAGCCTGCAGTGAGCACCTGGGCAACTTGCTTAAGGTGGCTTCATTGTCACCACCTACTCCCCCAAGCACCAGAGAATCCCAAGGGTTAAACACATAGGTTTGGATATCCAGTGCCTCGGCTCTGGCTCTGCCACTTACTAGCTATGTGACCATGGATGAATCAACCCTGCTAAGCCAGTCTCCTCTTTTCTAAAATAACAAAAATCGCAGTGTCTACCTCATCAGGAGGTTTTGAGCATGAAATGAGATCATATACAAGATGTCCTTGGTGCAATGTCTAGCACATAGCAAGTGCTTAATAAATGCTATCGTGATCATTTTTAATGAGTGCTACTATGATTTTCAAACCCCCAGTCCGCCAGCCCCAGCCCCCAGCGGCAGGAGTTCCAAGACCCCGGGATCTTAATTGAGTCCCCAAATGTCAGGCAGTTGACAAGGACCAGAAACCACTTATAAAATAGGAACCAGTTGAGAACAGGCCCAGAACAGGAGGGCTTGGAGCATAGAGACCCTCCTAGATGCCCCCAGATGCCATGAGATGCATGACTCACAGACCCCGGGTTTGGTCGGTTCCAGACCTATGCCTGCCTGGAGCAGCTGCCACTTCCTGCCTGGCCTTAGAGTGCCCTCTGCTTGGGCTTAGCCCCCACTGCCAGGAGCCTGAATAGTCCTAGGCCTCATCTTGTTTAGCTCAGAGAGCCACCATCCCTGTCCCCTGGACAGACTTCTCCTCTCCCTTCTCACCGGCCTTTCTCTGTCCTCAGATGCTCTTCCCTCACGGAGGCAGCCTGCCCCTCTGCCACAGACAGCATTCCCCAGGAGGCCCTCTGATGCTCTGCCCCTCAGCCACAGCTCAGTGCCCTGCCCTGTCACACTGGTGCCCCCAGAGCCAAGGCCATCCCTGCTGCCTCTGGAGACCCCTTCTAGCTTCCCCTGATGCCCCTCAGTGGTGTAGACACCAGCTCTAGGCCTGGATCTGCCCTGTTGTGTGAGAGGAGAACCAGATGTGGTGGAGGCTGCAGGGTTTGGGAAACCACCATTTGTTATTCTGGGCTTCCCCTCCCGGCCTGGAAGCTGGCCCACTTCATGGGGTGACTCGTGGCCCTGCATTTGTGCCATGAAGCAGGCTCCACCCTGCTGTAAACAGGCCCACAGGGCTCCAAAGGGAGGCCATTTCTGGACAAATCACTCCTACATCCCCCCCACCCAGCTCATCTGGAAATCAGCTTTGCGGAGCTTCCACATGTGCCCCCTCCCACCTCTCTCCACTGCAGACACCTGCACAGGCTGAGCTGCCCTGGCCACACTCTACTCAGCCAGGGCTAGGGGCCCTTTCCCCATCAACACCTCCAACCCCAGCTTCCAGCAAAGCTCATCCTCCCAGGCAGTCTCGTTTGAGACCCATGCCCCTGCCATGTGCCAGGTACTGGAAGAGACGAGCAATGAACTAGACAGACAAGGTCCCTGCTCTCCTGGCATTTGTTATATTCCAGTGGAGAAAGGGATCATCAATCACTTAATGAATAAGACAGAACATTTCAGAGAGTGGCAGGGGCTTCAAAGAACTTCAGACAGGCTGCTGATAGAGGGGCTGGGTGTTTAAGGATGCCGTCTCTGAGAAGGGGTCTTTTCCTAAACCCCAGGGAGAAGAAAGGAACAGCCATGGACAGAGCTGGGAGAACCGCATTCCAGGGGGAGGTAACGCCAAGTGCAAAGGCCCTGAGGCATGACCATGCTTGGCAAATGCAAGACACAGGGAGCAGGTTAGCATGGCCAGAGCATGAGGGGAGTCATGGAAAGTGAGGCTGGGTTGGGAAAGGGCCATGTGAGCCATTATAAGGTCTTCCGCTGGCCTCTGTCCCCACAATGAACGATGAGCTCCCAGGGACAGTGCCCTGCACCCAGAACCAGGTGCTCAGTACCTATGTGGAGCCAGGGGTGGCTTTCCTCTGGCCAGCCAGCCTGAGTCTCCCTCCACAGGCTCTGTGCACATCCAGAACCCTTCTCCCATCAGCCCATGCCAGGACCTGGCCAAGAACATTCTGTCCTGGAGATCTCACAAGGGAGTCTGAGACAGCAGCACTGGGAGAGTGGAGCCTTTGGCCCGGAGAGGGGAGCCTCCTGCTCCTCATCCTGAGTTTGGCCTCAGCTGGCCACACCCACATGCCCCAAGGAGCAGGGGAGGCCAGGAGGGCTTGTCCCACCTGGTTCTTGATGGCGTCGATCTCAGCCTGCAGCCTCTGGATGGCCCGGTTCATCTCTGCAATCTCGCTCCGGGTATTCCGGAGGTCGTCCCCATGCTTCCCAGCCTGGGCCTGGAGGGTCTCAAACTGGAGGGGCCATACAGAGAGTTATGGCAGGGAGGTGGACAGTGAGCACAGGTAACTCATCCTTCTCCCCACCCAAAGAAGGCTCATCCCAGCTTATATTTTCAGAAGGACCATCTGATTTCCATCAACCTTTGCCCCATGCCAGGCGACCAGACGGTGGGCAGCAGTGTGAGGAAGGCATTCAGTCTCCTCCCAGCCAGGCAGGACAGACGAGGCTCCCCAGGCCCATCCCTATGGATCTTAGGGCTCTTCCACTCCCACCATGCCCTTCTGCTGGAGAATCACCGAGAGTCTAAGATTCTCACCTGTTCAACACCCAGCCTGCCCATCTCACAGGTGAGGAGAGTGAGTCTCAGAGGAGAGAAAGCATCATCAAGGGACCACACAGCCAGTCAGTGGCAGAACAAGGGCCTGAGCCCAGGTGTCTTTGTTGGCACACCCGTGTTCTTGCCCATGAACGTGAATGACTCCCTATCTCTGCAGGGGCAGACCTCTCAACCCTTGCCTTGGGACCCCTTCTCCAGGAATGCTGGTTCACCCCAGTACCCCTCTTGCTCCCTCAGTCCCTGCACCATCAACTGTCCTGCCACCACGATGTACATGTGATGATTAAGCCTCCCAGGTCTAGGACCCTTGCATTCAGGATCTAGTCCCTGCTCTTCCATTTACTAGCTGTATACAGTTAGGCAAATTACTTAGCCTCTCTGTGCCTCAATTTCCTCATCTTTAAATGGGCCTAATAGGCCAGGGGTGGTGGCTCACACCTGTAATCCCAGCACTTTGGGAGGCTGAGGCAGATGGATCACCTGAGATCAGGAGTTCCAGGCCAGTCTGGCCAACAGGGTGAAAACCTGTGTCTACTAAAAATACAAAAAAAATTAGCTGGGCATGGTGGTGCATGCCTGTAATCCCAGGTACTCGGGAGGCTGAGGCAGGAGAATTGCCTGAACCCAGGGGGCGGAGCTGCGGTGAGCCGAGATCGCGCCATTGCACTCCAGCCTGGGTAACAAGAGCGAAACTCCGTCTCAAAAAAATAAAATAAAATAAAGTAAATAAAATAAAATGGGGTAATAATGCTGCCTATCTAATAGGGCTGTTCTGTGGATCACATGAGTCAACAGTGGCAAAGCATTTGAAAACTGCCTAGTACTGTGTAAGTATACCACATTTTAGCTATTATAATCACTAATCCATATCTCTTTCCTCTGCCCTGTCCTCCCACCATGGGATTTCCTCCAGGGAAGAGCGCCACAAACTTCACCATTGGTGCCTACCAGAACAGAGGGACCCAGGCCCTCAAGGCTTGAGATAAGTTGAGTAAGGGAGGCTGCCACCAAGGATCCTGGCAGGAGTAAGTATGCCCCCAGTGGCTTCGTACCTTGGTCTGGTACCAGGCTTCAGCCTCAGCCCGGCTGCACTTGGCCATCTCCTCGTACTGAGCCTTGACCTCGGCGATGATGCCGTCCAGGTCCAGGGAGCGGCTGTTGTCCATGGACAGCACCACGGACGTGTCCGAGATCTGCGACTGCAACTCTGTCAACTCCTGCAGGGACCAGACAGAACATCAGGCTCAGGGCAGGATCCATCCCCACCCACGCCCACCTGAGATTCCCCACTCACAGAGGAAAGAAAAAGAGAACAGCCTGGGCTGAGTCACCAGGCAACAAGGGCCCCAGCCCAGCACATTAAGTTATTTCATTCTGCCCAGCCTTGGCTCCCTGAGAGCCCCTTAGCAGTGTCTCGAGCGAGAATCAGGCAGGATTAAAGGGGATAAGGAAAGGGACAGTGTGGTGCGCTGTGCCGACTTCACACTGTGACGTGCTGTGGGCACAGGAGCTGTATTGTGAGGGAGGCTGTGGGGAATGGATGAAATTATCGTACTCCACCCTGCTACAGAATACTCTGCAGTCTGTACACTGATAGTATGGTTCCAAGTACCTGTGGAGAGTGTGTCCATGACGTTCTGTTGCATTAAAAAAGTATGATGCTATTTTTATTGAAAATATATGTTTTCATATCTCTATGTACATGTAAGCACAGAAAAGTCTGGAAATGTAGACATGAAGATGGTAACAGTGGGTATAAGTAATCCATTTTCTCATTTTTTTTTTGAGACAGAGTCTCACTCTGTCACCCAGGCTGGAGTGCGGTGGCACAATCTCTGCTCACTGCAACCTCTGCCTTCTGGGTTCAAGCGATTCTCCTGCCTCAGCCTCCCAAGTAGCTGGGATTACAGGTGCCCGCCGCCACACTCAGCTACTTTTTGTATTTTTGGTAGACACAGGGTTTTACCACGTTGGCCAGGCTGCTCCCGAATTCCTGACCTCAAGTGATCCACCAGCCTCGGTCTCCCAGAGTGCTGGGATTATAGGCGTGAGCCACCGCACCCAGCCAAGTAATCCATTTTCAATTTATGATTTACTTAATTTTTCAGATTTTTTCAATAAGTATGTATTACTTTCACCATGAAAAGAAAACAACTTTATATATATATATATACACACACACACACACACACACATATGTGTGTGTTTACACGTAAATAATGTGGTGGACACAGGAAGACCTGCGTGCTGAGATTAGAAGCACCTGAAGCAAGCCTCAAAGAAACCTCCCCTGAAAGCGGGCACAGTGGTTCATGCTTGTAATCCTAGCACTTTGGGAGGCCAAGGCAGGAGGCTCACCTGAGGTCAGGAGTTCAAGACCAGCCTGGCCAACATGGTGAAACCCCATCTCTACTAAAAAATATAAAAATTAGCTGGGTGTGGTGGCAGGCACCTATAGTCCCAGCTACTTGGGAGGCTGAGGCAGGGAGAATTGCTTGAACCCGGGAGGCAGAGGTTGCAATGAGCCAAGATTGCACCACTGCACTCCAGCTTGGGTGACAGAGTGAGATTCCGTCTCAAAAAAAAAAGAAAAGAAACTTCCCCTGAAATTTACAAATGTGTGGACATTTGCTCTGAGGGGCTGGATGTGCAGACAAAGACTAGACTGAAGAACTGGTCTGTAAACTCACATGCTAATTATGCCCAGCCTAGCCTCTGCCAGGTGACTGGCTACCCTACCTTCTGTCTAAGGCCAGAGACTCACATTGATGAGAGTGGAGAGGTTTTTTAATTCCCTTGAAGAAAAAGAGCTGGAAACCCTGGAGGACAAGGGTGAGAGGGAAAGAGTGAAAAGGGAAGGGAGGACAGAAGAATGGTAAGTTGATGGGCAGCTATCCACCCAGCCCCTTCGGGAGTAAACGCTCAGGCACTCCAGTCTCTCCTGACTTGGGATCTCCTGCTGGCCCCACCTAGCCCACCTTTGAACCCTGTCACAGCCTGGGGTCCCCTGACCTCCTCCTGGTTCCTTTCAGTCCCACCAATCCCCCTTCCTTAGAAATGTTTCGACCATCTCATGTCTCTCCAAGGTCAATCCTGATTGACTCACCCCCCAGCTCTTCCTGTACCCCAGCCCATCTTGAATTCCTGAGTCCAGCAAGGACAAAGAGCAGGATAAGTGCTTCCAACCCCTGATGAAGGAAATAATGTATATTGTGGTCCATTTCCAAGACAAAGTGCCTTAAATTGGCTTAGGGCAACAAACTACAGAAGAAATTGAATATTCTAGGCCCCTGCTTGGATAGCCAATGCCTGCTTGTCGGCCCCCCAGCCTTTCTTGCCCTCACCTGAACCAAAGAAGTTTAGTCTAAGATGAAGATTTACTAGCCTGCAAAATAGCTCACTTTGTCTGCTCTTATCAGCCTGCCCAGCTACTTAGATCATAAGTCAAGTACTTAAATAGCCCTTGAGCTGACCAGGATTGCAATGCATTGTGGGCTGCAACAAAAAGCAGCAAGCCAACCCCAAAGAAAACACCTAAAGAAAGCCCCTACCCAACAACCAATAGGCTACATCCAGGAAGACCATGACCCCATAGTACTCAGCCTGTGAGGAACTGGGGAGGGACCTGCGCACTAGGGGATGAATTGCTTGCTGTGGCTGTGCTGGGTGTGCCTGCCCATCAGACACCTGATCTTGCAAGACCATCATTAAAAGCCTCACTTTAGCTGTTCTGCAGGTTTCTGAGTCCACGCTTTGGGTTTGGATGGGTGAGTTTGTTTCTCACACTGACACACATCTGGACTAGCCCAGAGGTAGGGGGCTGGACCAGATGGCTCCCTGGTTAGAATGGGTAGGATAAGGCATGTCACCCAGCCCCATGGTCCTCACCGTCTCATGGAGGGTCCTGAGGAAGTTGATCTCATCATTCAGGGCGACCACCTTGGCCTCCAGCTCCACCTTGCTCATGTAGGCAGCATCCACATCCTAGGGGTTGGGGCAAGATGGGGCAGAAGGAGACCATGGCCTCAGTACAGGGAGCATTTAGTAGGGGTGGAAGCAGGCCTGTCCTGTCCAACCCACAAGCCAAACACTCCCGCCCTACCCAGAAACAGTTTCTCTAGCTGCCTGACATGGTCACAGCAGGAAGCTTGCCCTGCTGACCCACCAGACTGCGTGGTGCGCATCAACACTGGTATCCCAGAGGAGATGAAGCCCCAACCTAGCACTTGACCAGTTCCTAAAGACCTAGATGGTTTCAACACACCCCTAGCTCCACCTACTAACCGTGTGACCTAGAACAAATCAACTTCAACTCTGGGAATCTCAAATTCTCATCAGTCAGTAGCAGAACACAAAGTCATTCGGATTTCCAGCCCTCTTCCCAGAGATGGAAAATCTCCAGCCTAGGTGTTCAATTTGCAGCATGATAACTAAGATGCAGGTGGGCATCAGATAATACCCCAGGTGAAGATGGTGTCTGGGCCTCTTCCAGCTGCACTTTCCTGAGGTTAAACTCCTATGGAGGCCTCACTTTTACTCATCCCTGAACCTCCAAGGGCCCAGCTCATGCGGCAAGTTGCACTTCTGTAGTTTAAGCTTGGAATACCAACTGCTCAGTGTTTTGAAGAGAATCTTCAAGGCATGTAGACAAGACTCCTAAGATGCTTCTAAGGACTCCCAACCTTGCACATCTCCAGGAAGAGAGAGCTCACACTGCCTCAAGGCAGCTCATTGCATTCATTCAGCAAATATTTCAGGCCAGCCAACCATCACTTTTGTGATTAAAATGTTCTGGCTTGAATAGAGCACATCCTTGAAATCTCCCTCTATGACCTCCATCCTTTGCTCTTAGTTCTAACCCCTAGAGGCCTAAAAATAAGTCTAATCACTCACCACACACAAACACGCGCGCGCACGCGCACACATGCACACATACATACGCACATACACCCACAGGACAGGCTACACAGTAAGGGCCTGGCTTCCAGACTTCTCCCTCTCCAGGCCTATTGCTTTCCTCTTGGACAGCCCAGGCAGGCCTTGGCCCTGGGGCCCCATTGGCTGCTTAGGTGAGAGGGTTCTGTGGTCCTTTGTCCCATATGTTTTTAGACAACTCTCCTCCAGCCTGTCTTCCCGCTCACCTTCTTCAGCACCACAAACTCATTCTCAGCAGCCGTGCGGCGGTTAATTTCATCTTCGTACCTGCAGTAGAGGAGGGCCTGGTGTTGGTGCAGCTTTGCCTCCACCCCCTCATATGCAGCATGAAATCTGCCCTGCCTCCCTTCCCCTATTCTTTAAAGACACACCTGAAAAAACGTGTCAGCTACAAAATTAAATTTCCCTGACTTCCACGTGATCATTCCTAGGGCTTTGAGTCTTGGCATGGGGGTTGTTGGCAGGGCACATAGGAAACATGGGAATCACAGCACAAAGGCTGAGTGTCCGGGGAGAACGAAAGCAAATCATAATCGCTATATGCATGGCCTGTGTGCTACAGGCGTACACTATTATGTGCTTCCTGTGCATGAACTCCTTTCATCCTCACATCAAACCTATAACGATGGTACTGTGGTTAGCAGAGAAGGGAACAGAGGCACAGAAAGGCAGAGTCATCTGCCCAGGTCACTAAGCTACTAAAGGGCACAGCCCAGACTTGAACCCTGGCAGCTGACTCCAGCCATGCCCTTACCACTACCTAATCCCAACCCTCAGGGGCAAAGTAGGGGTCTGAAGGGGAAGAACCTTGTAGAATCAGGACGAGGGATACACAAAGTCCTGAAAGAACCAGGTCCTCACTAGATGATCCAGCCCCCATCCCTCCTCCCACAGCTCCCATCACTTTTCCTCCCAAGGAGCCACTCCTAGCCCTTAGGAGGACCTGGGCAAACAAGGCACAGAGGAAGAGACCACACTGGCCTAATCTAATGTTTATGTAGAGACTCAGAAAAGGTGGTTGGAGTCTCTACATGGGGCAACCTGGGGTGGAGAACAGGACATCCAGGTAGGCAAGGCCTCTCCAGAAGCCCAGGCTCAGGGTGGGAGGCTGCCCACACCCAAAAAGTTGCACTCCTTCAAGTCCTATAGAAGCTGTAGCAATATCTGCAAGGCTCCTGTCCACCCCTGCCTCGGCAGTGCACGGCCAGGTCCACAGGGTGTACAGATCAGAACTCCTGAGCAGCTACACACAGGGACCCTCCCATATCCCTTCCCCAGACCCCCGTCCAGCTCCTCTTTCAGTCCCAGCCCGGATCTCAGCCTGGCTCCACAGGAATGTGCTCTGCAGGTCTGCAGTGGGGGAAGTACGCAGGGGTGGCAGGTGTGCACACGCATGTACACAGTGTGAGTCCTGACAACAGGGCTGCATGGCGGCCCCAGGCTTTCACTGCTCTGCACCTGTCTGCTTCCACCTGCTGTGGGACTAATCCTGTTGACTTTTGCCCCAGGAAAGTGGGGGTGTGGGGGGGTACTCCACAGAGACCTTGTTTGCTCTCCTCCAGTCAGAGCCAATGTACCTGCTCCTGCTTAGTCACACAGGCACAGGCAGGGGACAGAACTCACTCACCGCCCCCCAGGTGTGTCTGGGTGGGGCACCGGAGTTTCAGGCTTTTGTTTCTATTTAATGAGAAAAGAGCACAGGGAGCACCTCAAAGGCCTGTCCTCAAAAGCCCCAGTCCCGGCCTTCCTGGGCCTCCTTCTGGCTCCTGCCCTGACCAGACCCACCCTCAGCCTCCGATGAGCGGCCCTTTGATGGCTCATGATGACAATTTTCCCTCCCCACTTCTTTCCTCCCCAAGCTGGGTCCGTGTCCCCTTGTAGGAGTCAAGGACCTAAAATTCAATTCCCAGCTCTCCCAGCAACCTTTGCTGTGTGAGCTCAACCAAGTCCCTAAACATCTCTGGTCTCTAATTCCTCACCTGAACAACAGAGGGTTGTTCTAGGGCAATCTGTGAAGGTCATACAAGTTCTGAAACACCCCTATCAGAAGACACCTTCTGCCCCACTCTCTCTCAGGGCCTTGGTCAGGCACACAAAGGAGATAGTGCAGGTCAGGCATGCAAAAGAGATAATGCAGGTCAGGGCTGGGCTGAGACATGTCACTGGGACTGAGTCAGGGGAAAAGACCAGAGTAACTTGGAAACAGCCCCCAGGGACAAAGAGGAGAGAGGAGAAGCAGGAAATGTGTGGGTCAAACTGGCCCCTTAGGGAGTTATTGGATTGAGCAGCTGCTTGCTGGCTCCTGAAGCAGGGGGACTTGCAGAGGGTCAGCTGATGAGGGCCACATAGGCCCAGGGCAGGGGTCCTCGCACGGGGCACTGGGGGCATTACTTATTCTTGAAGTCCTCCACCACATCCTGCATGCTCCGCAGCTCCACCTCCAGGCGGCCCCCATCCACCTGCAGCGCCTCAAGCTGCCCCCTAAGGCCAGCAATCTGGGCTTCAAAGATGTCTGGGAGGCGGCTGCTCTTGGCTGACTTCTGCTCCTGCAGCAGCGCCCACTTGGTCTCCAGCAGCTTGTTCTGCTGCTCCAGAAAACGCACCTAGAAAGGGCAAGGAGGAGGAAACTCAAGAGGAGCCAGAGCACTCCACCCACAGTAGGATTGAGGAGCATCGCCACTAGCCACTTAGCAGGGCCACATTCCCGCTGGCTGCTCCCCTGCCTGGGGCCCCCAGCCCCTCCCCTTGGATTCCAAATCAGGTGTCCTACAGAGTGATCCAGGAAGCAGAGCTGCCTGGTTCATGGATGTGCCCCAAGCTGGACTCCCAGGAATGTGCCCTAGAGCCTCCCCTCCACTTCACTCTCCATCGCATTACAGGTGGTCTTATCCACCTCCCTCTCTGAAGAGCCACCTCTTCCTGTCTATGGATCATGAGGATGACCAGGCCTGGCCCTTCCTTTGATCTGGGACCTCTTCTCTTCCTTCTTCAGTATCCTTTCTCTCCTTCCCCTTTCTCCAGCAAGTCCTCAGGACAGGTCAATCTATGGTAAAATGAGCCCAGCCATGGAGCCAAAAAAGGCCCTTAAGGAGTGGCTGGTTTGACTGGGGGTGGGAGGCAAGAGAAGCCTCTGCAAAACCAGCAGCTCAAGGCCCCAGGCCTTGGGAACCAGAGAGTAAGACGGTTTGGGGAGGTCCCCACAGAATCTAAAAGACCCATCTGGGTGAATGGTGAAGGAAAGGAGGACATGACAGGGGAGGTCTGGGAGTAAACTCGGTCCAAGCCTGAGGAAGGGAGCCCTGCCTAACAGGGCCAGCCCTGAGTTCCTGGCTTTGCCTAAACTCCTCCCAAATCCACCAGTGAAGTCTGCCCCCAGGCCCTCCCTATGTGTGGCAGAGGCCAACAGCCAGGAAAAATATTTCCAAAATGGCCCCTTTTGGAGGCCCCTCTCTGCCACTCCCTGCCCCCAACTGGGCTGTCTTCAGGGGCAGGTGTAACCTCTCCTCCTGCCACCTAAGGGAGGCTGGAGGACCAGGCAGGTGGGGGCAGGGCGGGAGCTTCCCCCACCACAGCCCTCACCTCCAGCATCTGCACCCTCATCAGCATCTGAGGGAGCCTGTGTCTCCCCCTCTGGGAAGGGCGTGCCTCCCAAGGCCATCCTTGACTCCACACGGTTCCCTCTCAGGGAAAGGGTCCTAGAGAGAGAAACTCCCTGGCCTTGGCCTCTGTAACTCCCAGCCTGATACCGGGGGCAAAACTGGTCCAGGGGACCCACACCAGCCAGCGAGGGCAGTCCTGCAGCACCCAGGCCCGCACTCCTCGAGGAAAGAGAGGGGCAGCTGGGCAGCTTGCTGGAAGGGAGGGAGGGCTTGGAGACCGAGGGGATGAAATAGCCACAGAGTTCACGCGGAGGAGGAAGGCCGCCCAGATCGAGCCCCCAACATTGGCGGAAAGAGAGAAGGGCGGCCGAGCGCAGGCAGGAATAGTTAGGGCGGGTGGTGTGAACCGGGGCGCGGCTGGAGGCGAGGCGAGGTCCAGTCCCGCTCACCTTGTCGATGAAGGAGGCAAACTTGTTGTTGAGGGTCTTGATCTGCTCACGCTCCTCCTGGCGCACCCGCTGGAGGGAGGGGTCTGTGTCCAGCCGCAGCGGGGCCAGCAGGCTCTGGTTGATGGTGACCTCGCGGATGCCGGCGCCCACCTGGCCCCCATAGGCGGAGCGCATGTTCACGCGCGGCCGCGAGGCGCCCAGGCCGTAGAGGCTGCTGCTGCCGAAGCCACCGGGGCGCGCGGAGCTCAGGCGCACCTGAGCACCGCGGCCGGAGAAGCCGGCGGAGCGCGAGCTGAACAGCGGGGAGCTGAAGTGGATGGACATGGTGGCTGGGCCGGGCTGGACCTAGCGGCGGGAGAGGAGGAGCACGCACTCGCTGACCTCGGGGACACTCGGCGCCTTTTATCGCAGGCGCTGGCGGCTGGGTTTCCACAGGTAGGGGCGGGGCTGGCCGCGGGCCACAGTTTGCTGCCAGGCCCCTCCTGGAGCCGCCCTCCACTCTCTGCCCGCCCGCCCCGCCGAAGCCCAGGCTTTCAGTCCCAGCAGTAATGGTCCGGAGGAGGCAGGAGCGTCATCCACAGACGGCCGCAGAGAACAGGGGGACCGCATTTGAAGCTGATCAGAAACAGGGGCTCCGCAGTTCCAGCAGCTCAATGAGGGAAGGCTTCCGGGAGGAGGAGGCTTGGAGAGGAGGTGAAGAACATAGAGATTCCTGAGCCCGGAGTAGAGAGACCCAGTGGCAAGAGACTCGGGGAAGGGGTGGCCAGAAAAGTTCCAACCCAGGAGTCAACGCTCAGATGCCCCCACCCTCCAGGCTGCTGAAGCCCGAAAGGCATTCCCTGCTGCTCTCCTTCACTCATTTGTTCAGGAGTCAGACCCCACCTGGCCCAGCTAGTTTCCCTGGCTGAGTTCCCTCCTACTTCATTTCCCATGGAAACTAGGCTGAGGGGGACAGGATGGCATTTCTGGCTCCTCCCCTCCCCACTCCAGTAGGCCTCGGGAGCCCAAGGGCCTTGGGAATGATTACCCCGGACCTGCACCTCCCCCACTCTCCACCATATTCCTGCCCATTTATTTTATGTGTTCCGGTAGAGGAAGCGGACGCTTGTGTGTATTTGTGATACTTTGTGGATATGTATACACATCTGTGTGTACACACCTGCAGGACTCTGCACTCTGCTTTGCTCACACTCCCAGGCATATACACATGTGTGTCTGAGCCTGCTTACACAGATAGGGGTCTGTGCGGGCATCCTGGCTGAGGGGGCAGCTGTGGCTACACAATGGCACACATTCACATGCCTGCCTGAGTGCCTGTGCCTCTGTTGGCACTTAACACCCCTCTCTCTCCCTCCACCATTTTTCTGTTTAAAGGCTCTCAGCCGTCATCATCTTCCTCCCGTGAAGCCACCACCAAACATTTCCCAGCAGTTTCAAACCCAGTCAAGGCGAGTGAGCCTTGTGCTGGAGCAGGGAATACCCGACAAAGCCTGAGTGCTGGCCTCACTTCCCAGTAGGCCCAGCCATGCCTGTCACACCCTCTCTTCTCAGGCCTGGCTTCCTCTGCCTTTAGCCCACCTCTAGCCCCTCCCAACGAGCTGGCCGGGGTTGTTACCTCAGACCACGCCCTTGGGGGAGCTAAGGGTGAGGACAGAATGTCCTTCCTGGTTGGCCATTTCAGTTAAAGCACAAGGACTTCCAGCAAGGCTAAAGAATGTCACCCCTTCTCAGTGATCTTAGTGGAGACTCACCAGCCCCCTGCCTACTCCGGACCCTAGCCATGGGCATTGGGTCAGCTTAGGCCAGAGGCAGAGAGGTGCTCAAGGAGACCTGCTGTGGCATTGGCCGCAGAGCATGTATGTGTGTGTAAGAGAGAGAGAGAGTCAACCTGGAATTGCGCCTGGTTGTAGCTTGAAGAGCCCATGGATTACCTGGCCCTGTGATATTTGCATTCATAGGAATCTCACTGCCCTCCTTCTCCAATGCCCAAGCGGGCAAAAGAGACCAATTGTTTAATTTACACACACACACACTCCAACTTCCTTACCCCTCAGGGCTCATCTTCGACTCTTTGTTTCACCACTGCCTCTCACACCAACACCTGCCTTCCCATACCTCCCCGACAAGTTCTGCCTCTGGTCCTCTCATCCCCCGCCCCCTTCCCCTTGCAGGATCTGCACTCTGGAGGCTGTGCCCACCTAGGCCAGGAGTTCCTGCACCCACTTCTCCCCTAAAGCCTGGCTGGGAAGTCTTTGTCAGGACACTGCCGCTGCCTTGGGGCCCTGGACACGTCACTGCCCCTCCCTGGGCCATGGATTTTTTCACCCAAGATGAAATCCCCAGATTCCATACCTGCAGAGGGCTGGGGAGGACAATGGCAAGGAGAAAAGGTCTCTGGGCTTTTTCAGGCCCACATCTGGGTTTGGGGGTGGCACTTTGAGCAATATTTCCCCATTCCAGGGCCTGCCTGACATTCACCCCTTGGCCTCTCCTCCCCTCCCTGAAGCATTCCAGGCCGTTCCAGCACCAGCCAGTCTCTTCCTGCCTCTCTATTCACAGGCCAGCACTAGGAGCCCACTCGGTGCCAGGCAGTGCACACAAACATCCTCTGGAGGGCTTCCCAAGGCACCACCAACTTGAGAGGCTGCAGACAAGATTCCTGCCCACAGGAATTCACAGTGCAGCCATCCATCCAGCCTCTGTCTCCATTGGCCTCACCGAGACCACCTTAGGAAATCCTGGGCAGAACTGTGAGGCAAGTTAATCCTACAGTCTTTCCCCACTGGTCATCTGCCTGCCCAAACGTGGGCTCCCATCTCCATAGCACTCTGTTACACACACAGCCAAGCACACCCCCACTTTCTTCCCACCACCCTCCTAGCTGTCCCACCTCACCCTCTAGAACCCGGCTGTGAACTCCAGGCAGGCCCCAGTCCTCTTGCTTTGCCTGGCTCTGCTAAACCTGCCCTAGAATCCTCTGTCCCCGCAGCCCCTGCGACTACTTTCCCAGAGAGGAGGCATGCTGTTTGCCTCCTTGCTGTACTTTGAGAACTATTACTCATTGTCTATCCCCTAAAAACATGTACTCTGACTCATAAAGAAAAAAATAATTTTTTCATTATCTTGGAATGTGAATTGGACTGTGGCATATTTGTGAAAAGATAGAGCAGCCTAAATGCCTGTGCATAGGGAAGTGAAGTGGTCAATTCATTTAATCCTGTGAATTGATCATTCAATGGAATACTTTCTTCATGTACTGATTAAGTTTTTAGCCTTTATATATTGATTGCACAGATCACTGTGGTTCTAAAACTCCTGTGAGTTTTAGAACTGCCATCCAGTTCCACCAGGCCTGCCTGAGGCTGATCTCTGCTGGCCCCATGCCACCTCCTGACCTGACTCTCTTCATGCTCACTGGGGACTCTGGCACCTGGGTCCTGCTTCCTCTCCACCCTGAGCTCCCTCGCTCTCAGTGCAAATGGCCCAGCCAGCAGCTTATCCTTTGAGTTCCTTGAGCTCCTCAATTCTTTCACTTGCATCCTTTTTCTCTTGCCTATACCTGAGGTCACACTCTAGATCCTAAACTGCAGGGCCATTGATGACAACTCTCACTGTCATGGGTGGATTCCTCAGCTACACCGGAACCCCCAGTCCTGAACTTGGCTGTTCCATTTTCTCCCCACCTCCCACCCTCCTTTCACCTTTCTTTCCAGCTTGGGTTCCCTAACTGTTACCCTCACGCTCTCACCCCTGACACTTCAGTCCCCACCTGGATAAACCTCTAGCCCTACTCTGCTTAAACCTCAGACTCCTCTCCTCGAGCACTAGCCTGCAGAGCATTAGTAGAGAAACCACATCTTCAAGGTCTGGTGTGACCACCAATGCGGTCCCCAGCTCAGCAGCGTCCATTTTGCCACTGGGCACTTCTCTCTGCCTTTGGTCAACAATGTCTCCTGAGCCTCCTGGTTGCTATTGCAAAGCTTCTCAACTCCCGTCCTATCCCCTACCCTTCGCCCTCACCTCTCATCCTCAACAAGGAATCACAGCATCCTTCTTCACTGCAAAAATCAAGACCATCTGGTAAAAACTCCTTTACCTTCCTTTCCCCACCCTGCTACCCTTCCTCCCTCCCTCAAGCCTCTAAGGACAGACTCTCCTTCCACCTATGCCCCAGACACTGTTCTCTCTCACCTCCCCTCATGCTGCATCCCATCAGTTGTTCCCCTTCCTATACTTCCACCGATTCTTTCTCCCCACGTCTTCCTCTCCCTCTGGCTACCTGCCCCTTTCCCTTCATAGCTAAGTTTCTTGGTAGAATTGGCTGCATGAATTTTACTGGAGCTGTGGGGGAAGAAGTCAAAGGTCAGGAGCTGAGGTTTCAATGGGGAGAGGAAGGAGAAACAATGAGTGCCGATTACCAAAACTAAGCAAGTTCCGTAGGAAGAAAAGCTGGGATGGAAAGTAAGCTGGAAAGGAAAAGATGGATTTTAGAATGGGGGAGACCTGAGCATATAAGTTGGCAGAGGAGGAGACAGAGACATGTTTAAGATCTCTTAAACACGAGAGAGTGAAGCTAAGTAATAGAGCAAGGTCCAGCGAGGTGGGTTTAAGAGTCTGGGTGAGGAGAGAGAGCATGGGGAGAAATGCCAGATATAAGTGAAGGGGAGGAAGGCAGCAAATCACACTGCCACGTGTGTACCTATGCAGCAATCTTGCATGTTCTTCACCTCTACCCCAAAACCTAAAATGCAATTAAAAAAATACAATAAAGGCCGGGTGCGGTGGCTCAAGCCTGTAATCCCAGCACTTTGGGAGTCCGAGGCAGTTGGATCACGAGGTCAACAGATCGACACCATCCTGTTCAACATGGTGAAACCCCGTCTCTACTAAAAATACAAAAAATTAGCCGGGCATGGTGGCCCATGCCTGTAATCCCAGCTACTCAGGAGGCTGAGGCAGGAGAATTGCCTGAACCCAGGAGCCTGAGGTTGCGGTGAGCCGAGATCGCGCCATTGCACTCCAGCCTGGGTAACAAAAGCGAAACTCCATCTCAAAAAATAAATAAAATAAAATAAAAATGAAAAAAAAAGAGTCTGGGTTAGACCAGTCATTGTGCCCAGGAGAGACACCTTGATGTCTATGGCAAAAAGGAGGAGCTGACGGCAGCCAGCGATATAGATATATATCCACAGGTGGAAAGGAGGCTAATTCAGAGAAGGCTCTACCGACTCTAAGAGAAGGACTAGTTCTGCTGCCAGGGGAAACAGAGACAACACTTCGTAGGTCTGTTCTGTCCAACTTCTCTACACTTGAACATCCTGCACATACACTTTCTTTGGTCTCAGTCCATGTGACGGTTACTCTCTATCAAAGAGATCAGTAGTCTCAACACTACAGTGCTGTGGCAGAAGGTGTGGGCTCTCGTTCGACTCAGAACACCTCTTCCTAGCTACATGACCTTGTAGCTGACCTCCATGAGACTCAGTTTCTTCATCTGTAAAATGGGAACTCAATAGTGATTATCTCATGAGGTTTGAGTATGGAAGGAGATAATGTATACAATATACCTAAAGCTCTCTGAACACATTTTAAAAAGTCAACAAACTGAAGCTGTTGTTGAAGTGATTGTAGCAGACGGTCCCTGAGACATCTGCCATGTTTGTGCATATTCCTAGCCTCTCTTCCCGATGGGGGCCCAAGAAGAATGGGACTAGGGACATCACCTCCCTTAATTTGTCCCGTATTTGGCCACTACGTGGTTCTCAGGGAAGGCATTCTACAGTGTCCTACCTTCCCTCAACATGCTCCCCTCCTCCCCATACCTGTGGCTGTGGGTGCGCCTTCCTATACA